AATAATTATCTATATAATTGTTCAATCACTAAAAAGATAGATAAACAACAACAAAAACCATTGATGAACAATTAAATGGCGTGAAATAAATATGTATATATGATTTATGTTTTAATAAATGGAAGAAAGATAACTCAGTCTTCTTGATATTCAGAATTCTTCTTTATTGAAGGACAACTTAATTTGTATTGTGTTATAGTTTTCTCTTTCATGATATATTATTTGGTCATTTTATACACTTGTACTAGTTTCGGTCATGATTGAGATCTATTTTAGGCTAATTTACTCATTTTTTGTAATTAAATAAAATTGGGTTTTAAATAATTTACCTAATGTCACTTTAACGCTGAGAAATCTGATGATCATGGGTTCAATCTCCAATGAGAGATAGATAGATAGATAGATAGATAGATAGATAGATAGAAAGAGAGAGAGAAGGAATAGATGCTTAGCTAGTACGTATTAACTGGTTACTAATCTCTTTGAATTTCAATAATTTATAGGTTAATATGGGTTCATTATATAAAAAAACATTGAATTAATCTCCTCAAACCACATGACCATACATTTTGACTTATTACAATTAGATTGTTTATTATATCATCTTCAAGTAACATATGTAAGTTTTATAATTAAAATAACTGATACTAATTTACTTCATACACAAGGTATCAACTTTGATGCTATACATTGTTATTTGCAAGTTTATTCCATAACTAATTACGTCATTTTAGAACGAATTGTTTGTTATTTTCGATTCGCGTTATTTTAATGCTTATCTCTACATTAGGGTTGAACTATTTTATAACTGTTTCAATAAAGAACTATTAAATGAGTTTCATGAAGATTTATTAATGAATTTCTTATTAAAACGAAATAATTATCCACTACTACCTGGTTTCAATGGTACACTAATTGATATCAGTCTATCATAAGTTCAACCTGAAAAGGACAATTAAATTATATCAGTATTATCCTCATGGATATAGGTTTTCTCAATCTATATACAATGGAAATGTGAACAAAAGTTCTAAATGAAAGTGTTATATCTTGAAACTGATTTTTCTCGATATACCGCGTACAACAGAGCACTAGAACACCAAAACCCTTCCAAGTCGCAATAAGAAGACAGAAGACTAATGAAAGGAATATTATTCCAAACAGTGTCAATCATTGTACAAAATTGTCAGGTATTTATAGTTTTTAGTGAGAACAAAATCATCATTACAGTCTTCCAATCCGCATACAGGGGGTTATTAACATTATCCAATCGGGAAGCTACACGTTGGAATTCTAGAACATTCTTCCGAAAGGTGATTGGATGAGATGTCTTCGGCTCCTTCTGAGCCTCTTACAGCTTCCTCGAGTTCACCGGTGGTCCGTCGTCACACCTCCCCCCTTTAAAGTCCGTTGTGTAAGATTTTTTTCTTGGATCCACCTGAAGCTTGGGTGTCGCATTCCTCTTGCGGTTTTTTATTCTCGAGGGTTGTACAGCTCTCTCTCTGCGTCGTTTGTCTTTTCGATATTTGCCTTCATGATGGTTCTTCTGAGATGAATCTACGAGCAATTGAAATGGGAGCCGGTTTTCTGTGACCACTGTACTATCATTTCTTTGCATTTGATTTATATGTCTTATTCATTTTCCGACACCCTTCCGGACTAGGTACAGTACATTTCCGATTCGACGTTCTATGACACCTGGTTCCCACTTCCTATTACCTTGATACGATCTGACAAGTACCTTTTCACCCACCTGGAAGCTACGATTGACCTTACGATTTTCATTCGTGGGTTTATTTGTCTTTCTGGGCGGCAACATACTGTTAAAGACTGTCCGGATTTTTCTATTGAACATACACTCGGCCGGAGACTTTCCTTCTGGTACTGCCGGTTTAGGGGTAATTCTGTAAGACATCAAGAACTTATTAATCACTTGTTCCGGGATACCCTCACCTCCCCCTTTGACCAGAGCTCTTTTAATCGTATCCACGAATCTTTCTGCCTGGCCATTCGACTGAGGATGGTACGGAGGAGATTGTAGATGCAATATGCCATTTTCGTTACAAAAGCGTTTGAAGGCGGATGACATAAACTGAGTACCATTGTCGGTCACTAGGATCTCTGGAACCCCAAAACAAGCAAACAATCCTGACAATCTTCTTACTGTACTCTCTGAAGTCGTATTCGGCATGTCATACACTTCTGGCCATTTTGTGAAAGCATCTACAACAACTAAGTAATTCCTGCCTTGTATTGGTCCGGCGAAATCAGAATGTATTCTTTGCTAAGGCCCGTCCGGTTTAGGCCATGGTTGTGGTTCAGCTCTCGTTGGATTCTTTGCAGCCGAGCTGCGAGCTAGTGACTTCATTTTACTAATCCCCGGATCTTCGCTGTGAAACTGTTTAATGACTTTGTGTCGAAGATTTCTGGGGATTACGATACGATGGCCAAACATTATACATGAATCGACAACTGTTAATGATTCTCGTCGACGAAAATATTGTAAGAGATCTCCGTGTAGTTTAGATGAAGGCCATTTGTTGAGTATGCAATGGCGAACAATCTTCAATACATTATCCTTCTTACTAGCCGCTTTAATGGCTTCGAATGGGACCGGGAGTCCGGAAACTGCATCTGACAATATTTTGTGAACTTCGGCCTCGACATCTAAAGCAGCTACAAGTACCTCTTCTTCTTGTATTTCATACAGACCAATCAATCTTGAGAGTGCATCTGCTTGTCCGAAATCCGTTGTTGGTTGATACTTAATCTTGAAATCGTAGCCCAGCAGTGTGGTAGCCCATCGCTGTAGCCGGTTTGCTGTATATACCGGGATACCTTTTTTAGATCCAAAAACTGTCAGTAACGGTTTATGGTCTGTAAGTAAGGTGAATTGTCTGCCAAACAACATCTTGTGGAACTTTTTTACAGCAAATATAATCGCGAGGGCTTCTTTCTCTATTTGACTGTAGTTTCTTTCAGTCATAGTCAGCGATCTCGCAGCGTGAGCGATTGCTTTTTCAGACCCGTCAGGGTAGGCATGTGAAATTACTGCTTCAATTCCGTAGTTCGACGCATCTGCAGCGACTATAATTGGAAGATCAGGATCATAGTGTGTAAGGAGAAGGTTGGATGATAGAAGCTGCTTCAGTTTTAAGAACGCTTCCTGGCATTCAGTTGACCAGAACCATTTAGTATCCTTTTTCAGTAAGCAATTAAGAGAAGCACGATGGCGATGCAGATCTGGAAGAAAAACCCCATAATGACTAACCATTCCTAAGAAGGAACGTAAAGTTGATACATCAGTCGGTGGAGGCATGGACTTAATGGCTTCGACATTTTCAGGATCAGGTTTTCTCCCGTTTTTATCGATTATGAATCCTAAATACCGGACTTGCTCCATGTAAAAATCACATTTTTCGGCACGCAGTCTGAATCCATAATCTGCTATGCGTCTGAGAACCGTATCCACCTTATTCTCTAAATCAGCATAGTCTGTACCCATGATTAATATATCATCGAGATAAGCCGCGGTACCAGGAATGTATTGTAACATAGTGTCCATAACTTGTTGGAAGATTGAAGGGGCGGTCTTTACACCAAAGCAAGTCTGTTATATCGGAACAACCCCTTGTGAGTGTTTATTGTCAAGTAATGCTTACACTCATCCGCTACCGGAATCTGTAGATAAGCGTCTGATAGGTCTAATTTCGCAAAATACTTACCCCCATTCAGTTTCGCAAATAAATCCTCTGGTACCGGCAACGGATATTGATGGTCTTCAAGTGCTTCATTTAATCCAGTTGAATAGTCTGCACATAACCGGATACTTCCATTAGGCTTTTTAACAATCACTATCGGTGCTGCCCAATCAGAAACGTTTACTGGTTCGATTATTCCACTTCTTTGCAGACGCTCTATTTCTTGTTCAACAATAGGTAGTGCTGCATAGGGTACCGGACGTTTTGGTCTGAAGACGATGGTGACTCCCGGTTTAAGAATCAATAGTGCTTTTACCTTTTTGCATTCTCCCAACTCTTCCGTAAACACTTGACTATATCTTTCCAATACAACACTCTTCAGATCCTTTTCCACCGGTTTATTGGTTCTCACTGCACTGCACATATGGTTAATGGGGTGATTTGCTAATTGTAGTGTTTCTATCAAATCTAGACCTAGCAAATCTAGTCCTGGGTTCTCTGTGAGATATAAAGTTGCATTCGTTTTCGCGTTTCCTTTCGAAACTATACAGCAAACTTCTCCAACAATATTTAGTTTTCCTCCAGATGCGCTGTGAGCTAACTGGGTTGTTGGGAGCACCTGTGGTTTACCGATAAGATTCCAAGTTCTTCGACTAATAAGTGTGATGTCAGAAGCGGTGTCGAGTTGCAGGCGGGCACGCTTTTTATTTATATCCAAGTTTACATACTTTCTTTGGCGGCAAATTCGTGCTCGATTATGTGATACCAATATTTTGTTAGTTCGAGCACTAAATCTGTATTTCTTCGAGTAGGGTTTCAAGGAACGTCGTTTATGGATTCTTTTTATGCAGCAGTTTTCTTTATGTCCTTTCCGATGACATTTGCTACAACAATGTTCCTTATATGGGCAGAACCTTTTATAATGCCAACCCCCACAATACCAACATGGAAATGAAGGCTGATTGTCTGTGTGCGATACTTTTCTTGAGCAAGAATAGTTCTTTCCGCTTACAGCACGTACGTATGGCGATTGGCGATTATTCTCGGCCATCGAAGTGTCATGCTTTAGGTTTACCAATCTCTGACACTCTGTTGTTACTTCTTGTAGTGTCATATTCGGACATTGTTCAATTTTACTCAAAATTCGGGTTCTAATGTTGGCGTCTTCAGGAGATTGGAGGCTGCACACAAACACGAGACACTTAAACTGATCTTTTGTCATTGCTGACAGTTTGAAGCGCTCACATTCACGGTTTACTAAACCCGCATGCTTCACCCAGTCATCATCACCTGCTTTTGTCATCTTGAGACATTGATAACGAATATTAAACAAGGATGACTGTTCAGCAAAGATTTGCGAAAAATTTCAATTGTTGCATCAAAAGAAAAATCTCTTGGATTCTTTGGAAGGATAAAATTACTGTAACGTTCATGTTCAGCAGTTCCAAGTTTTCGCAAGAGTATTCTGACCTTAGCGGCGTCATCAAGATTTTTGAGGTCGACCTTGAATAAGTCTTCATATATCTTGAACCAAGTCTCAAAAGTAATGCCGGCTGAACCATCAAAATTAAATTCATGGATAGAATTAACAATCTGGTCAACATGAGATTTGAAGGGGTCAACTGTAACTTCTTTTTGATCCAGGTTCATTTTCTGAGTTAACATCTCCATCATGCGCATCTGGAACTGTTCAAAACATTTTTCTTGGCGTTCCAGTAAGGCTTCAAATTGTTCAAAGGTAAATGACATATTGGTACAATAACCCGTCGCCAGGTGTTATATCTTGAAACTGATTTTTCTCGATATACCGCGTACAACAGAGCACTAGAACACCAAAACCCTTCCAAGTCGCAATAAGAAGACAGAAGACTAATGAAAGGAATATTATTCCAAACAGTGTCAATCATTGTACAAAATTGTCAGGTATTTATAGTTTTTAGTGAGAACAAAATCATCATTACAGTCTTCCAATCCGCATACAGGGGGTTATTAACATTATCCAATCGGGAAGCTACACGTTGGAATTCTAGAACATTCTTCCGAAAGGTGATTGGATGAGATGTCTTCGGCTCCTTCTGAGCCTCTTACAGCTTCCTCGAGTTCACCGGTGTTCCGTCGTCACAGAAAGTATAATTGGTAATTAGTAATTAAATTATACACCAACTTAACTAATAAATGAACAATATCACATGTAAAATAGATTCATTTATAATTCAACGAATAGTTGATAATTTATATCTTATATACAATAATGAATTAATATAAATGACATGATAGTATATGAAAGAATAGTTTATTTTTAGGAATGCAGACAAGTTATCTGATAAGGTACATTTATATATGTGCATGTAAACATAATCCACTATAGTTGATTGTGATCTAAATTGTTAATAATTTTATTATTATAATAAAATATGAATAGAGTGAACAACTTGAAACTTTAGAGTACTTTACATTATTATTAGTTATATGTTGACATCGTTATTCTGAAACCACAAACTTCATTTCATTTTTTTTTCAGGAAGTTAGAATATAAATAGATCAGTCTTTTCAGGATACAGATAGTCTTAAGATAGTGTATTCATATGGAGCTCAATAAAGTTGCTCTATGGTGCTTTAAATGGAATTCGGAATTTACCACTGTTGACTGTGGATAGATTTGCTTTGGTGATCCTTTTCTCAATTTTTACCTCGTCATAAATGTCAAGGAGCTATCTGTTTGTTTTGGTCATTTGCCTTGGACTACAGACAGAATAAAACATATGCTTAAGGGATTTACGATAAAGTTTGAAAATTTGTTTAGTAATCTTGGGTGTATTTCATCCGTCCCAGAGAGTTACCTATTTCAAGTTAATTTAATAGATTAAAGATATTGAGTTCTTTAAAGGTCACAACGTAGCACAGATTTATATGAACCAGATGGAGGGGTATCTCTACGGTTCAAACATTGTTTATTTAGTTAGGAAATACTTAAGCTCTATCTTAGTCAGTTGCTATTGCAAATTTAGTACTACTGATTCCGCATAATGCTATAATGTTACCTCTACTCTTCGTCCTTTGGTATATGCACGAAAGTTTGCGTTTCGGGTTTTCTACAGATTCCATAACAGCTTTTTTACGTACAACCTTGACCTGTGTAGGGTAGAGGCACACATTTTTTGGTTTCCCAAATATTGAGATTTTGCCTCATTAGCACCCAGTACCCTCCCTAAATATCTCCTACATTCCTTTCTTTTTATGAAGAGTACGAACCACATTACTGAAAAATAGTGGAAAGTTTCTGGTACTCCTTAGTATGGTCCTAGGAACATGAGATGCAGTAACGTTTACGTGCAAGTCCTTTTAAAACCGCCCAAGCGGTTTCTATAAGGGATTTTGATCCTATCATATAGTCTATTGAGGACGCTAAGTGTACAGTTTCTTATATATTGCTTCTCAAACATTTGGTTTATTCTCGGATTGTTACGTCCTTGTTAAAACGATATAATGATTCCAAGAGTTTTGACTTTTATCAAGATTTTATTATTATTCATGATACTCATAATCAGAAGTTTATTGTGTTGCTTCATGTTCTGTTTTAGAGGGATATGATTGCACATTCAAATGCCTATTCACTCCATGTTCATAGTTTTGGATTTCTTTTATATTTAGCTCTATTTACAAAGGTACAATGTTTGCGAAAACTCTCAGAATTGTGTTAATGTGATGTTCGTATGTAATAATGATTTCTTCGTACATCATTCCTCACCTAATTTGAATAAAAAATATCATTCTTCCGAGTGTACTAACTGATTTTTCTTCGTAAAGGATATTGGCTCATTCATGATTACTAGGTTACAAATCAGGTAGTCCTGAAAATTAATAGTTATTATATCAATCCTACTATTTATACTTACTACACTTCATTAGTAGATGCCATACATAAGTGTTCTTTCATTCACAATTTTTCAGACAGTACTAACAGTTTATTTCATGTTTTCACCCTGAACTCATTTTAATGAGGTGCTGAGATAGAGTTTTGCTCCAGAAGTCAATAAAAGTTCTCTAGAATTGATGCGATTCTTCGGATCTATTCCCTTTGTATAGATTCTGCACTTGTTACTGATGTGTAGTGACCTACTTTTATCAAGAGAACGCAGTTGGTTTGATGGAAACAATTATTATTATAACCAATTGTACTTGTTTGTTTAACTGTACTAAAAACATCCATTATTCTTTCATTCTTCCTTCCGTTGATTGTGACGCTGCACGAACCTACGTTTGCTCAGTGAATCCGTTTGTACTTCTTTGGCACGATCTTGGTATTCTTTCGATACCACGAGATCACCAACAAATATACTTCGCTACAACCTCCAACTGCCTTGTTATATGTGGTACGTAATCTTCTTGTAGCGGTAATCAAAGTCAACCGCGACTCGACGCCACGCTACAATTCGTGAACCCAAAAATACGAATACTTTTCAATCAAGTCCAAATCCTCCAAAGAAGCCAATTGCCATGAATCTGTTACTTGTCTATCTATGTCTGTTGCACATTCTCATGTTGATATTTTTCAATATATAATATTCTTGCAATAACTTGACATGACGGATAACGATATCAATAGTATTAATATAATAGACTCTGACGTACAGGTTATCCATTTTCATCCTGTATCTTTTATCCCCCACGACCCGGAAGTTTGGTCTCAGTTGGAGACCCGTCGCATTACAACCCAACGGCAAAAATATTCCTACGCCCTGAAATCTTCACCAGGGGATCACACAGTCGCTGTCCGTTAGGCCGTCCTCAACTCCAATGTGCCCAACGTTTGTGGTCGTCTCAAGGAGGCGATCCTCAAACATTTCCTCCCATCGAAGGAAGAACGGTTGAGGATATTATTAGCACGTCACCCTCTCGGTGATGCTAAACCGAGCCACCACCTGCAAACTCTTGCAGGACCTTCGGCAGCTGATTCCGAAATTACTAAGTAATTGTGGCTCGAATCGTTACCAGCACACATCCAAACAACGATCACGGCCCTGCTCGAGAAAACACCGCTCAACTAGGTGGCCCTTATAGCAGACAAAATAATGGCAAGGACCGGCACCTGAGACAACTAAAATGTTGCCTCAACGTCACGTTCGAACGTGAATATGGACGCTAGTCAGTTCACGGCTCAAGGTAATAGGGACGGTTGTATTCATACACGTCTTAGCTTTAGAGACCGTCGCAACACAACCGAACCCTACTTCCCTCGAGTCACATCACGCTCACGGAAAGCCGCAACCACTCGCCCAACCAGGGCATCTTCCAAGCCACGCCAAATGGCGGCTTCCGAAGCGAGTGGGAAGTCGGTGCTGGTTTCAACGCTCCCTCGGGTCCGGTGCCCGCCGTTGTCGAGCCCCGTGCTCATAAAAGGCGGGAAACTCTCAAGCTGGAGATTAAAAGCTGCCGTACGCGCTGGATCGTCGCCCCAGGTTGGTGGTTTATTTTATGTGCACGATTATCGCACGAACGCTAGGTGCCTAGTAGATACTGGTGCTCAAGCTTCTGTCGTACCTCTTGGTAACAGTAAGTTACAAGCCACGACGCTTCGACTACGCGCCGAGAATGGCTCAGCCATTCCTACCTATGCTACACGACAACTCGCAGTCAACCTGGGTAACCGACGACGGTATCTGAGGACGTTCATCATTGCCGATGTTCCCACAGCCATACTCGGTATTGATTTCCTACAGCACTGCGAACTGCTAGTCGATTCACGTAGGCTGCAGCTAATTGATACTTCGTCGAACAGCGAATTCATGGGCCTCAAAGCTTAAACAAACGCGTACCGAATCTTAGGTATCTTTTATTCACGTGATGATATATTCCACACTTTATTCGAAAAATTTCCCAAATGAACTAAGCCACTTGAGGAGATTTCGTTGGTGACCAATCGTGTGGTACACCAGATAGTCACCCTGCGGAACCCCAGTCACGGCAAGACCACGCTGACTGGCACCAGACAAGGTAGCTTTCGCTAAACGTGAGTTTGACAATTCACTAGCTACTGGTATTATTCGTCCTCCTCACAGTCCCTGGGCCTCACCTATTCACATGGTGCGCAAAAAGGATGGGGTTAGTTTTAGACCATGCGACGACTACCAAGCATTAAACGTAGTTACACGTTTTGATAGCTATCCCATCCCCCACATACGCGACATCACGGCATAGCTCAAGGGCACGACTATCTTTTCTAAGGTCGATCTGCTACGAGCATATCATCAGATCCCAGTCGCTCTTGAAAATATCGAGAAAATCGCAATCACGACTCCTCTTGGTCTGTTTGAGTTCCTACGAATGCCATTTGGATTACGGAATGCTGCTCAAACTTTACAAAAGTTTATTGATAGCATAGTAAGAGACTTAGATTTTGTTCATGTCGATATTGATGACCTGCTAATCACATCATCAAACGTAGATGAACATTATCAACATCCTACACTCTCATTCTAACATCTTTCGGATAATGGAATAGTAGTCGACCCGGACAAGTGCGAATTGGGCAAACCAGAAATAATCTTCTTGAGTCACATCATCAAGAAAGAGGGTATTTTACCTTGTGAGGGCAAAGTACGTGCGGTAAATAAGTACAACGTACCGACCTCACTCAAGGAAATGAAGAACTTTATCGGTTTGGTTAACTTCTATAGATGTTTCATCCCAAACGTGGTAGAACGTTACGACCATTAACCAATTTACTCCGCGGTAATCCACGCAGATTA